TTAAGGTTGGGGTGGAAGGTGTTAGTGAAGTGTATGAACTGTTCGAGCTCCTCGTGGGAGCACGAGGCGGCACCGATACAGTCATCAATGTAACGGAGGAAGAGGTGGGGTTTAGGGCCGGTGTAGGTACGGAAGAGGGATTGTTCCACGTAACCTACAAAGAGGCAGGCGTAGCTTGGGCCCATGCGGGTACCCATGGCTACCCCCTTTGTCTGTAGGAAGTGGGAGGAATTGAAAGAGAAGTTGTTGAGTGTGAGGACGAGTTCGGCTAAGCGGATGAGGGTGTCAGTGGAGGGGGACTGGTCGGGCCTGCGGGACAGGAAGAAGCGGAGGGCCTTAAGGCCATCTGCATGGGGAATGCAGGTGTAGAGGGACTGGACGTCCATGGTAAAGATGAGGTGTTGGGGGCCGGGGAATTGGAAGTTCTGGAGGAGGTGGAGGGCGTGGGTGGTGTCACGGACATAGGTAGGGAGTTCCTGGACCAAGGGGGAGAAAATGGAGTCGAGATAGTTGGAGATCAGTTCGGTGGGGCAGGAGCAGGCGGAGACAATGGGTCGACCAGGGCATTCAGGTTTGTGGATTTTGGGAAGGAGATAGAAGCGGGCAGTGCGAGGTTGGGGAACGATGAGGTTGGAGGCCGTGGGTGGGAGGTCACCTGAGGTGATGAGGTCGTGGATGGTTTGCGAGATGATGGTTTGGTGCTCAGGGGTGGGGTCATGATCAAGGGGGCGGTAGGAGGAGGTGTCGGAGAGTTGGCGTCCGGCCTCGGCGATGTAGAGGTCATTTAGAAGAATGGAAGGTGATTTCATTGAAGCATACAATAATATTATGGAGATTGACAGGGTAAATGCTCAGAGGATGTTTCTCCACATGAAAGAGTCTGGAAATAGAGGGCATAGTCTCAGAATAAAGGGGTACCAATTTAACAGAGAGATGAGGAGGAATTTCTTCTCTCAGAGGGTTGAGAGTCTTTGGAACGCCTTGCCACAAAGAGTTGTGGTAGTAGAGTTTTTATGCATATTTAAGGTTGAGATAGATTCTTGATCAGTCAGGAAATGAAGTGTAACAAGGCAAGGGCAGTATAGTGGTCGTGTGAAATGTTGGATCAGCTATGATCCTATTAATAGTGGATAAGGCTCAAATGGCCTACTCCTGTCCTAATATGATACTTTGGTCTTATTATTACCATGTAGGCCATAACAGATAACGAAGGCAGGCTGCCTTGCCTAAGGTGGATGGGTAATTACTAGTTTTCAATTATTACTTGGATTTACATTCTACCAGTGTCCAAGATAGAATTTGAACATATGTTCCCAGAGGATCATTATAGGTCTGTGGAGTTTAGCAAAAATATCAAAAACATGAGAGTTGTAACACCACAAGTAACACAAGGCAAAGGTAGATGAAGAGGTCAATAAATCATAAGGTTTAATGTCATTAATTAACTGAGGTATAGAAGATAAACATACAGCATGGGTGCAGGAGTAGGCTATTTGGACCTTCAAGACTGCTCAGCCATTTAATGTGATCATGGCTGATCAACCAACCCATTCAGCCCATAAAGTCTGCAACAACCACCTGAAGAGCAACTCATCCAAACGTGGCACCCCTCTCTATGTCTGCAACTCTGCATTTACCAGGACTAATCCACCTGGCCAGCATATCCCTGGGCACCACATTGCAATTTACTGTACACAATCCACATAATGTGCACATCTTTTGACTGAGGGAGGAAACTGCAGCATGTGGCAGAAACTCACACATATATGGAGAAAACATACAAACTCCACACAGACAGTTACCCAAGGTTGGCATTGAACACGAGTCTCTGGCGTGGTAAGGCAGCAGTGCTAACCACTGATCCACCATACCATCCATTGTCCTGCAAATTTCTATTTTGATTTGCACAAGATAGGGGTTCTGCAAGGTACTTTACAATGAAAAGAAATACAAGCATATGAATGGAATACGATATTCTGGAAATGCATAATTTGCAGATTTGCTCAACAGATGGTAAGTTTAAGAACGTTTTGTCAATTGCAGAAAAACATCGCAAACCCAGAGCCCAATAGGATGGCAGAATGTCAGGAAAGAGTGAAGAGTTATAGAGCTAAACAGCATGGAAACAGACTCTTCAGTCTAACTAATCCATGCCAACCACATATACCACAGTAATGGCCATAGCGTCTTGTGATCTCGCAGTAGTATTCCTACTCCTGAGGAGGCCTAGGTTCAAGTTGTTCTGACCTCAGATTTACACAAATTTATGTAAAAGATTTAATGGAAAAATATCTAAGATTCATGGATTTGGAGACGATGACCGAGTGGTATTATCGCTGCAGTTTAATTCCAGACACCCAGGTAGTATGCTGGGGATCCTGATTCGAATCCCGCCATGGTAGAATTTGGATTCCATGAAAGTCTGGAATTAAGAGTCTAATGATGATCATGAATCTATTGTCAATTGTTGGAAAACACAATCTGTTTCACTAATGTCCTTTAGGGAAGAAGAACTGCCATCCATACCGAGTCTGGCCTACGTTTGACTCCAGAACCACAACAATGTGGTTTACTCTAGAGTGCCCGATGGGCAATTAAGGATGGACAGTAAATGCGGGCCTAACCAGTGACACCCTTATCCTATGAATGAATAGCAAAAACATGAGAGTTGTAAGATCACAGCGTGCTCAAATATCATTTCGACGTGTATTCTGATAGGAAGCAGCCAAGGGAGTATTTAAAACAGGCTGACAATTAAGTCACCTGAAAAGGTAAGACAGAAACAGCCAGTGAAGAGGAAAGATTAAGTTAAGCACGTTGTTGAATGCCCGGAGTCACCGAGACGTGGAACTAGGTAACTCTTACAGTCCTCGGATTTTTTTTTTTCACAAATATCCAGGATTGTCGTAAACACTATTAGTGCTACTATCTTTTGAAAAAGAACGCTTGGAATTCCGTTCTTCAATTGAATGTAAACTGTCTCCTGGGCTGCTTTAAAGACATGTTTCCGGACCATTAGTAGAGGCTGCTTGATTTTTTGCACGGCAACATAATGATTTTGTCCGTTAACCTACTTCTGCGCTTTGAGTAACATGAATGGAAAATTTCAATGCCTGTGGTTTTCTGCAAAATATGTTTGATTTGCTCAATGTTAAAGCCGCACACTGATCTATTTTGTTTTTCTTCTTTTACATCTGCTGACCTACTTAATTGCTGGCAGCTGTATTCTGGCAACCACGCAACCAGCATGCATGCTTTCTGTTTCTCTGCGTGATTTGATCATGTTTCTGTCTTTCTGCAAATGCATCAAAAATAATGCTCTGCTAGGAAGCTAGCAGGGACTAAATTTGACGAATTGAACTGATAGGATAGACAAGAGAGTTCGCGCAATACTGCTATGCTCTTGAATGTGCGATGTTGTTCCCTTTGAAATCTGACTTTCTTGTCTCTGCCCAAATGAGTCCAGTCAGAAAATGTTCATAGGAACGTGAAGCTTACGGGAAAATTACGGTAAATTCGGTCTTTTGTTCTGTTTCTGCCATTCATTCGGACAAGAATTCTGGAACTCCCTCCCTAAGGGTCCACCTGCAATACATGGACTGCAGCTTCCAAGAACACAACTCCTCACCAATTTCTCAAGTGACAGTTGAGGACTGGCAGTGAACGCAGGGCAAGCCAGCGTCCCACAAGTGAATACATGTAAATGCAAGATCATGTCTGATTCGGTTACAGGTTCTAGTTCCACTGTCCTGCCCGCATCCTTGACTCTCATCTATCAAAACACAATCTAAGTTGATTGTCAGTGCATTTAAAAACCCAGTCCCCACTATCAATTAGTGAAAACCGTCTATTGTTGCACTAAATCTACCGAAATGGTTATTTGAGTTCTGATCAAAATTAATGCAAGAAGAGAAGTGCGCTTTGATGTATAGTCAATTTAATAACTTAATCTGCTTTATATATATGTATGTATATATATGTACATACATACATGCATATAAAGTAGCTTAACCTACTTTATAGACAAACTAATGAGCGAATTTATTAACTTAAAATACTTTGTATACAAACTAAAGAACAAATGTATGAGGTTTTCGAGAACAAATCTATTAGCGTAAACTACCTTATACAGACGCAAACTTATGAGTGAATCCTATTACTATAAAAGACTTTATATACAAACTAATGAGTGAATC